TTTATACAGTTAATTATCAAAAATAAGTTATTTTGGGGTTTAGTTACTCTTTAAATTAAATGTTTAGGCCGCATACTTATTTTTAAATTAATAAAGAAGCAATGCAATACATCGCCACAGGCTAAACTCTCCCTGACTTACCACAAGGACCAATTTGGTGTGCCACCCCAAAAATTTCTTTGGTCCCATCTGGCCAACCCTATCAAAATTTTCTGGAGGCGCCCCTGTTGAGGTGTAGACATGAGCTTTGCTACATTAGCCTTATTTAGAAAATTAACTGACGTTTACACTGAAACTTTATGTGATTTCCTGTCTAGCTCAAGGTTTACTGCTGAAACTGAGGTGGCACAGAAGTGGCTCGTGGCAAAAATAGAACCCGATCCTATCTGTAGCGGCACAGCGGTCTGCTTTTGGGACACATTTTAGATGGGTCTCCATTTGCCCCCAGTGCATTCATTTCTACTGAGGAAGGTGAAAAAACGCACAGAAACGGGCATAGTTGTCAAATCAAATCAAATCAAATCACTTTTATTGTCACGTCACATGTGCAGGTACACTGGTACAGTACATGCGAGTGAAATTCTTGTGTGCGAGCTTCACAGCAACAGAGTTGTGCAAAAATACAGTAACGTAAAAACAAGCAAAATATAAAAATGGCTAATCTAAGTAATAATATGTATAGTATGTAAGGTTATTACTACGTAATTACATTACTAAATGTGTGTGCTAGTATTTTATTTTATTTATTTATTCTACATGTGTGCGTGTGTGTGTGTATAGTGTGTATATACATATTTTACAAAGGAATAAAGTAAACAATAAGATAAGAGATATAAAATGTACAGAGGTTGGTATGTGCAAAACTGTGGCATTAATGTACAGTATGGAGTGTGTAATGTTGGAGTTTCAGTAGTGAGGGTGAGGTGTCTGTGAAGTGTTCAGCAGTCTGATGGCCTGATGGAAAAAGCTTTCTCTCAGTCTGCTGGTTCTGGACTGGATGCTGCAGAACCTCCTTCCTGATGGAAATAGTCTGAACATTTAATGGCTGGGGTGACTTGAGTCCTTGATGATCCTCCCCGCTTTCCTCAGGCACCGCTTCCTGTAGATGTCTTGGAGGGAGGGAAGCTCACCTCCAGTTATCCTTTCTGCACATCGCACTACTCTCTGGAGAGCTTTGCGGTTGTAAGCGGTGCTGTTGCCATACCAGGCGGAGATGCATCCAGTGAGGATGCTCTCAATGGCACAGCGATAGAAGGTCCTGAGGATGCGGTGGCTCGTGCCAAATCTTTTCAGTCTCCTGAGAAAGAAGAGGCGCTGCTGTGCCTTCTTCACTGTATTGTTCGTGTGCACTGACCACGTAAGATCCTCAGCCAGATGAACTCCAAGGAAACGGAAGCTGCTCACACTCTCCACAGCGTCGCCGTTGATGGTGATGGGGGTGTGTATTCCTCTGCTCCTCCGGAAGTCTATTATCATCTCCTTTGTCTTTGCGACGTTGAGGGTGAGACGGTTGTCCTGACACCAGTGGGTCAGGGCGCTGATCTCCTCCCTGTAGGCCGTCTCATCATCGTTGGTGATGAGACCCACCACTGTGGTTTCGTCCGCAAACTTCACAATGATGTTGGAGTTTCTCGTGGCCGTGCAGTCGTGGGTGTAGAGTGAGTACAGGAGAGGGCTCAGCGCACACCCCTGTGGAGCACCAGTGTTCACTGATTGTTGTTGTTCACTCTGCATCTGCATCTCTTTTTACAGTCACTGCTCTGCATTGACTTTGGAGTGGAGGAGACCTATCTAATATGACGGTGAAGCTGTTCCAGTGCCCAGTTGGGCATCTACGTATCTATGGGATAACCCACTTTAAAATCGAGTGAACCCCAAGACGTTTTTCACCGCCCAGTTCCACAGTTCTCCTATTAGCTGAGGGGTTGCTAGGAGATTATACTTCCAAGTTTTGAGAGAGAGCAGAAAAAATCCGTGGGAGCGGGGAACAGACTTGTGAGAGAAGTTTTGATCCGTGCAGAGAAAAAGTTTTCACGTGAGAAGACAATACCAGTGTAAGAAGGTTAAAATCTGAGCGCAGAATCAAAGATTTGAGGGAGGACAGAGTATATTTGAAAGAGAGCAGATATTTTGAGTGCAAGCATTAAAAGTTTTGAGAGCAATAATATAAAATCTTTTTCTCAAATTAAAAAGTTGGTCTCTTGATATGAAATTCTGCTTTCAAATTGAAAATTCAAGTGCTCAATTTGTGGCATTTTAATTCTTCCATAATTGGCTTAATGAACAGACCTGTATTGGAATGTTTACTGTGTAAAGAGCCTTGAGACGACTCTTGTCGTGATTTGGCGCTATATAAATAAACTTGAATTGAAAAAAATTTTTCAATTCTAAATAGTTGCCCCCCATCTTGGTGCCTGTGCGTTGGGGTTTACCCCAGTGAATGAGAGGGTAGCCTCCCTCCGCCTAGGTGTGGAGGGACGGGTTCTGACTGTGGTCTGTGCTTATGCACCAAACTACAATTCAGACTACCCACTTTTTTTGGAGACCTTGGAGGGGGTGCTAGAGAACGCTCTGTCCGGTGACTCCCTTGTTCTGTTGGGGGACTTTAACGCTCACATAGGCAACGACAGTGAGACCTGGAGAGGTGGTGGTTACCTTATTTAAAAAGGGGGACCGCAGGGTGTGTTCCAACTACAGGGGGATCACACTCCTGAGCCTTCCTGGTAAGGTCTATTCAGGGGTTCTGGCCGTGGAACACCAGACCAGCTCTATACCCTTAGGGGGTCCTGGAGGGTGCATGGGAATTTGCCCAACCAGTCTACATGTGGACTGGTTGGGCATTTTGTGGATTTGGAGAAGATGTGTGACCGCGTCCCTCTGGGGGCCCTGTAGGGGGTACTCCGGGAGTATAAGATACCATGCCCTCTGATACGGGCTGTTAGGTCCCTGTATGACCGGTGTCAGAGCTTGGTCCGCATTGCCGACAGTAAGTCGAACTCGTTCTCAGTGAGAGTTGGACTCCGCTAAGGCTGCCCTTTGTCACCGATTCTGTTCATAACCTTCATGGACAGGATTTCTAGGCACAGCCAAGGTGTGAAGGGCATCCATTTTGGTGACCTGAGGATCAGGTCTATGCTTTTTGCAGATGATGTGGTCCTGTTGGCTTCATCAGAACGTGATTTTCAGCTTTCGCTGGAGCGGTTCGCAGCCGAGTGTGAAGCAGCTGGGATGAGAATCAAAACTATGGTCTCTAAATCTGAGACCATGGTCTTGATTTGGAAAAGGGTAGAATACCTTCTCCGGGTCAGGGATGAGGTCCTGCCCCAAGTGGAGGAGTTTAAGTATCTCGGGGTCTTGTTCACGAGTGAGGGAAAACTGGGGCGTGAGATCGATAGGCGGATTGGTGCTGCATCTGCAGTGATGCGGGCGTTGTACCGGTCTGTCGTGGTGAAGAGAGAGCTGAGTCAGAAGGCGAAGCTCTCGATCTACATTCCTACCCTCACCTATGGTCATGAGCTTTGGGTAGACACCGAAAGAACAATAATAATAATAATACATTTTATTTCAAAGCGCCTTTCAGGACACCCAAGGTCACTTTACACAAAACACGTAATAAAATACAATAAAACAATAATAAAACCCAAAGAAGAAAAAACAGAGAGAAACATTTCAATAAAATCAGAGGTTGTAGGCATATTTAAACATGTGTGTTTTGAGTTTTGTTTTGAAAAGGGTAAAACTGTCGACGTTCCTGATGTCTGGGGGAAGTGAGTTCCAGAGTCGAGGAGCAGAGCGGCTGAAAGCTCTGCTCCCCATGGTAGCGAGACGGGCAGAAGGAACCGCAAGATGGATGGAAGAAGAAGATCTGAGTGAACGGGACGGGGTGTGAATACTTATAAGGTCTGAGATATATGGAGGAGAGAGGTTGTGGATTGCTTTGAAGGTATGGAGGAGAATTTTGAAGATGGACCTGAACGAGATCGCGGATACAAGCGGCCGAAATTAGTTTTCTCCGCAGAGTGGCTGGGCTCTCCCTTAGAAGCTCTGTCATCCAGGAGGGGCTCGGAGTAGATTCGCTGCTCCTCCACATTGAGAGGAGCCAGTTGAGGTGGCTCGGGCATCTGGTCAGGATGCCTTCTGGACGCCTCCCTGGTGAGGATTTCTGGGCACATCCAACCGGGAGGAGGCCTAAAGGTAGACCCAGGACACGGTGGAGGGACTATGTCTCTCACCTGGCCAGGGAACGCCTTGGGATTCCCCCGGAGGAGCTGGCCCAAGTGGCTGGGGGGAGGGAAGTCTGGGCCTCTCAACTTAGGCTACTGCCCCCAAGACCTGACTCCGGATAAGCGGATGAAAATGGATGGATGGATGGACGGACGGACGGACGGACGGATGGATGGATAAAAAAATCTGAATTGGTTAGAGATGGGGTTCTTGCCCTCCAGCTTATGTGGATGTGCGCAGTTACCCGGCTGTAAACAATAACTTTCAATGGGCCTATAGGTTTTGAGGGTGTGCACGTTTTGTGCGCATCTTCACACACTCAGATATACGTGGCAGCGTGCAAAGCTAAGATAACACCTTTGGGATGGGGTTTTGCTAGTTTCTCACCAAAAAATGGAGAAAAAATGTCTCTGCAGAATAATAACCATCCAAACCTTAACTCAAACTTTGAACTAAAACAAGATGATCAGTAAAACTTTCCAGAGCTGACATTATCTTGGCGGTCAAAACTAGGCAAGTCTTAAAGCTGTTATGAGAACTCCCAACCACACGTTGCTCTGACCTGGACTTTGTTTAGCTTCTGATAAAAACTTACAGGAAACTCATGATGCAGTTCCAATTCTGGAATTAACACACAAACATTCTTTAAAGGTCAGCTAGGAGACAATAATATTTAAACTGTAGACTTACTGATTCAGCTCCAATGAACAATGTGACTGATGACATTTTGACCTGAAAAGGCCCCAACAGGATTTGAATTCTGAAATCTTACCTACCTATGCCATAGTCTGCAGGATTCTCCAGGTGTTCATCGTATGATCCCGGAGGCTCGGGTGAACAAGAAAGTTTCTGTCCAGCCGGAGGACAGTGGGGAATTTTTCCATGTTTTTGACCAGCTGCTGATTCTTTGGAAGGTTGAGGGCTGGATTTGATGGGTGGATAAGGAGTGTTGGATGTAATAAGGGCTGAGATAGCCGCTGCATAAGCAGAAGACATGTTTAACTGGAGTCTCGGAAGTTTGAGTGCAGCTAGAAATGATCCACAAAGACAGCAGTGCCTGGAAAAAAACAAAAATTTTAAAAGCATTAGTAACAAATAAAATGAAAATGTCCTTAATCATAATTAAGCTTCTAAAAAATCGAAATAACCTTTTTCTCTGGTGGTTAGTTTATGCTTGTAGCTCCTGGTGGCAGCAGGTTGTGTGACATTTTGTGAGGGCCAGTGCTTGTGTATGTTTATTTTTAGCTGAATGAATGACAAGTCAACGTAAATAGCCCCAACACTGGCTCAGCAGCAACTAGAAGCTACTTGAGATAGAAAAACCTGCTGCAGTGTGAGCTCCGTTGATGTCAACATGAATGTTCAGCAGTTCAAATAAAGGCCTTTCAAATGCTTCTGAAGAAGTTCCTTTCTCTAGACATAAGACGTTTAATTTATGTCCCAGCTGCAAATCACTCATTTTTGCTTGGATATCCATATTATAGGATGTCCTCAAGAAGGGACTGGAATCTACTGGGGGTCATTTAAATAGAAAGAAAAGTCAGCAATAAATAATAATTAATAAATAATAGGAAAGTTAGCAAACATTTTTACAAGTATGGCATCATGGCGACCATGATGGCCAGAAACAATGTAATAAAACTGTTGTATAACACCTGCTGTTCCATTTTATACACACTAAACTAAAATACAATGAACGTTAGTTTCTCTTACCTTCTTATGGAGAGCACAAACACACAGCTGTCCTTCCCTCGGCTGGGATAAAACAGCGGCTGTTACATAGCTAAAGAGTTGTTAGGCGGGAAATGATGAGCGCGTGCCAACGTGAGACAGCGGAGTGGACAGTTGTGGACCCCCCCCCACCCCCCACCCCACCACCACCACCACCACCACCACCACCCCTTGGAGAGGAGCTGAAAAGGTCCTGGAAGGTCCTGAAAGGTCCTGCAGCTGTTGCCTCGTGTTGAGCATGTTTCACAACAACCTACCAGCTGTGTTTTCCAAATCAATTCACCAAATTATAATTTTACCACTAGGACAAAAAGTAGTAGAGTCATTAAATAATTCATTATGACTCACCGAGTTTCTTATAGGGAAAAACGCTTATTTCTAATTTGAATTATTATCAGAATGTTTCTTTCTGTGGGGTTTAGATTTTTCATATCCATGTCTTTGTTTCTACTCGTTGACCCATCGACACACATACTAGCCTGGCAAGCCAGACTAAATAAACGTATTATTTACAAACTTTGCAAAGCAAGAATTTGGTCTAGTTCACTAGGCTACACACACATTATGGGGTGATTTTTTCAAGTGTCTGTAAAAGGGATAAAAACCCTCAAAACAAATGTGTCCACTAGAGGGCAGAGTTTTATCAAAAATTGGATTGAGTGAACTCTGCAGATATATATTTTTTTGTTTGTTTGTTTCAAACCCAGTAAAGATTGGAATTACTGAGGATGTTTATCATATATAACATAAACAAATAATATGGGATGATATTAATTTATTAATATGTTGTAAAACAACAAATGATGTGATTTCTGAAGACCCTTAATGGGTACAGCAAGTAAACCCTCAAAAAATAAGTTCTTGTATAAATTCACATTGTTTCACATTTTCTGATTTTTCTGATTTTTTCTTCACCAACTGAAACTGTTTCATGGAGCTACAGGTTGGACCCCGCACCTATGCTGGCTTCAAGCCAAACGCTTCAGAGAGGGAAGATTTCTGTCGAGTGTGAAGTGAACGGGATGAGAGTCCAGAGAGTGTCTGGGAAAATGTTCCGTCTTGGTTCAGAAAAGTTAAAGTAACCAAACAGAGTCAGATCTGGGATACAGGCGACAGAAAAGAGCTTCCTTCATTGGGAGGCTGGGCTCAGAGTTTGAGTAATTCCAGCATCATTCCATCATTGGGACTGAGCCCCTCGTCTCCAGATGTGTCAGCTGCAGTGGCTTAGGTGTCTGGTTGGGATGCCTTAATCCTTAGAGGTTTTCAAGGCACATCCTAAAGAGAGGAGACCCAGCAGCATACACTTTTATTTGCTATATCAATGCTTAACAAGTTGTAGTTCATTAGCAACATAAATAAGAATAAACAACATGGAAAAAATTCAGTAAATCTTCCTCCGAAACAAAATTTCTGACTAATTTGTTGATTCAACATGACACTTTATTTAGTAGAATGAATGCAAAATCCCAAACATACAGCAGATAGCAGACCTGTCGAGTCTAATCTCACAGGTCTGATCACAGGAGAGAAACAAGACAGCTGAATTTAAATATAAAAAAATTCAAATGAAAGTTTTACACGTCACACTTCTGAATAAAACCGTTTAAAGACACATTGGCAATTCCTGCACCGATGATCAAGAGCTACAGTAGATGGCTACAAAATATTAGATTCATAAATATAATAGTTTGAATACATCTTTAGAGCTAAATTCATATTTATTTTGAATATACAGAGTAGATAATATGAAAAATACCTTTCTGACTCCCAGTGCACAGCAGTTTGGTCTTTGATTTCAGGTTTTAATGAAGCTGACATGATGAAACGTAGAGCTACGCTTCGTAGCCGTGTACAAAAACATGACTTAAGACTCACCTAAAGAATTACATTTAGATAGGTTGCACAATGACAAAGGTTCAAGTACACAAATGACCCCAAAACAACACACAACGTGTTACTCATCTGTTGCTGATGTCAATGATGCACTAGGATGAAAAAAAAAGGTTCATTTGTATCTTTAATGCAACAAAAACACCCAACGCAAATGAATTAAAATCATTACAAATGCAAAGATCTGCCATTAACTTTTATTTTTTAACACGTTTCCTGGAATGAGACCGGCTCAAACCATCATTCAGTACCACAGCGATCCTGCTCTGTTCTAGCAGTAGTTCTCACACAGGGTGGGAGGTGTGGGACGGGTTATTTAGGTTAAATACGCTAGCATGGGGTTAGATTGAAGATTACATGTTAGTATGGGAACAAAGACTCGTCAGTACAATCCTTACTATATACAAACCTACACACAGTAGACCTTCAGCAGGTGTTGAAAAAACTCTCCTTTTTCAAGTTTGCCTCATCAGAAACCCTGTTTAAACCTGCCAGCTCTCTCGGTGACCACCTCAAAGGGAAATAAGGCTTCAGATGTTCCTAAAGTGCTCTGTATGACAGCCAGACCCTCCAGTTTGTTAGACAATCACATGCTACTCATACAGCAGGTCTCACTGTGGCCCTTCTGAGTTCAGCCGTTCTGTTCAGGTTCACACAGAACGATAAAAGCGGGAAAATCACCTCCTGACATCGATTAAGTGGTTTTAGAAAATGATGTTAAAGGTTGTAACAAAGGGTTCACATTTTAAAGACTTCCCACCAAATTTAGAGGATAAAGGATTTTAGGCACTCCGACCTGCACACCGTGAAGCTACATTCTCTGGCCAATTTTCATCTGATCAAACCGTTATTTAAATAAAAACAACAGAGGACAGGCGTTGCTACGGCTTTGTTCACTTTAAAAACACACATTCAATGGTATGTAATACTAGTCAAATGAGAATAGATCATAACAATTAAATAGCAATAAATCACTCTTTTAATATAACTTTTCTCTATTTATCAGAAGATACAAAATAGTAATTTAGAGCTGAATATATTCTGTAAAAAATTATACGTCGGGAGGCTTTTCAAGGTTATTAGGAGGAATCTTACTGTTGGTGTTGGACCAGAAGGATTTACATAGATATATGAAGAATAGATCATACTGGTATTAGATGCTTCACCAGTGCACATTCATATGGGAGCACTGGTTTTAACGTTCACGCTGTCAGAATCAGGCATAACCCTCCAGCTACATTTCAATCTCATTCAAGTGAGGTCACCGCGTTTTGTTTGTTGTTGAGGTCTCATCGGATCATCTTATATAACTGTGTCGAGTTTTATGATGCTACAGTGTGTGTGTGCGTGTGTGTGTGTGTGTGTGTGTGTGTGTGTGTGTGTGTGTGTGTGTGTGTGTGTGTGTGTGTGTGTGTGTGTGTGTGTGTGTGTGTGCGTGCGTGTGTGTGTGTGTGTGTGTGTGTGTGTGTGTTCTGCTCCCTCAGACTAAAGTCCCTGGGTCTGCGTTGCTCTCTTTTGGAGTCACATCTTGACTTTGTGGATCTGGAGTTTCCTGATAGAGCGAGAACTCCATCGACCTGTCAGGAAGGTAAAGGAGGAAAGAAGAAGTCATCACAGGGTCCTTTAACAAAAGTAAATTCATGAATTTCCAGGAAAAAAATTAAAAACTTTCACAATTAAAGTCTTCATTTATGAGAAGTCCATCCGTGCATTCTCCAGGTTGTACATGGACATAAAGACATTGTATGAACAATAGAAATCTGCTAAAAGTCTGAAAACCTGGAATGAGGAAACCCAGGTGAGGATTCAGGAATGTCACACATCCAGGACCGAAAGATCTAAACATTTAATATGTTCTGATCGCCTTCGTGCTGTTTAGCTGTGTGCACAGTAACACAATGCTGTTGTTTTCTGCACGTGAAATACTTCCTAGGAAAAAATGGACTTTCATGGTTCACTTCACACAGGATCAGCAACTCCTTTTAAACATTAAAATGATCTCCTCAATATTTTAGATTACATTAAAAACAAGACAAAATACAAACAAATCACCCATGGGTGCAACACAACTAAAGCTGGAGAGTAGAAACCTTAAAAGTTCATAAAAGGCAACAATTACCAGTTTATGATTTACTGGGTTGTCACAATTAGCCCCTAATTAAGTTTAGACTTTTTACCCCTGTGGGCAGTTGGAAGCTATTAATCAAAGCACTGATTTTTGACAGGAAACAACAGGATGTTGGCATAAAGGAGCTGGTGGTAAAATGATGCTGAGTTTGCAAAATGAAACATGAAAATAGCTAAAAGAGGATGATGGACGGATCTGTAGGGTAAGAGTCAGAGTAAAGACACCATCCTCAGCTGCAAACCGAAAAACACCTTTAACTAATGCTGCTGGCAAAAAACAGAGAGCTCAGGGAAACGTGCACCACACGCACACACACACACACACACACACACGTGTGCACACACATGCGTGCACACACACACACACACACGTGTGCACACACATGCGTGCACACACACACACACACACACGTGTGCACACACATGCGTGCACACACACACACACACATGCACACACATGCAGTTACACACACACACACACGCATGCAGTTACACACACACACGTGCACTTACACACACGCACACACACACACATGCAGTTACACACACACACACACACACACACACACACACACACACACACACATGCACTTACACACACGCACACACACACACACACACACAAACAGACAGACACACACACACACACACTTCCACAAACAGACACACACGCACGCACATGCACACACACACACACACATGCACTTCCACAAATACACACACATGCGTGCACACACACACACACACAGACACATATACATGCATGCAAACACACACATGCACATCCACAAATACACGCACATGCGTGCACACACACACACACACACACACACACGCACTTCCACAAACAGACACACACACACATGCACTTCCACAAATACACACACATGCACGCACACACACACACACACACACACACAGACACTTCCACAAACATACATGCATGTACTTCCACACACACTCACTCACACTCACACACACACACACACACACACACACACAGTGTTCTCTTAATAATAGGAATAATAAGCACAGTAATACCACTTGTGTAATGATGTGTGTCTGTGAAAGCACTTCTTGTGTTTATTTTTGAATACTGACCGTCCGTGCAGCGGGTGGCCATGGAAGCTGGCTGACTGGGGCATTTGAGACCTCTGGAGGTTTGCTGGTTCACCTTGAAGGGACTGGGTCTGGTGCACTAGCGGGTATGGGTGAGAGAGACGGGAGATTCCTGCCTCGTGACCCTTTGGGGCAGCAGAAGGGTAGCCAAAAGCGTTCCTCAGGTACCAGTCCCTCAGCCCCTCCAGAGCCAGAGCTTTATGCAAACTCCTTGTTGAATCTTCTGGTGTTGGGAGAGAAAACTGTGGGGGTCTACGGTTGAAGGGGGGAACCAAGAGCTCAGCCTGATACGGATGCAGGTTGGGGATGGAGGAGGTGGTGCTGGTGGCAGGTAGGGGGGACTCGTATGCTGACAGCAGGATGCCATCTTGAGATTGTTGTTGCAAAGGGATGAACGGCCCACAGGATTTTGTCCGGGTGACTTTGACCCTCCGTAGTTCTGCTTGGGTCCCTCTAAGGACCATGGGGCTGTAGGGAGTTGCAGCACTGGGCAGATGCACTTGGGAGTGAGAAAACCCATTGGCATTTGGTGGCACTGCTGCTGTGGAGGAGCGAGGAGAGGACGCGTCCTGCCAGATTCTGCCTGTGGACTGATACAGATGGTGCTGCACTTGCATCCTCTGCTGTTTACCCCAGATATAATCCATCAGTAGCTCATTGTAGCCTCCGCTAGGTGCTCTGCCCCCCATGGACAGACGCATTTTTACCTGCTCCACAGAACTGTCCACATGTTTCTCCAGGCCGTCCAAGTGAATATGTCTTAATTTGCCATCAGTCAGTGTCTCCGAGCTCTTGTAGGGCCCTCCTCTCTGAGGCATACCATTTCTGGGTCCAGGATCATCAGGGAGGCTGGATCTGTCCAAGAGGGCCTCTGAGCTGTTGCTACGTCTTGCTCTGGAGCCGTAGGAACAGCTTCGTCGGTCAGAAGAGGAGCCCTCCTGAGCCAGTGGGATCATATATGGAACATCCAGGCTGCCGGACCACTGCTTCAACCCGTTACCACTCGATGTGTCTGACCTATGAGAGCAAAAACTTCAACTAGTAGATAAAGATGTGAGAATATAAGCAGCTTAAGTCTGCTTATTTCTTAATATTATACATTACAATCTGGAAATATGGGAAAAGATTTTGTGGAAATATGAGTTCAAGAGACTCAAACCCCTCACAGGAAGATACATCTGGCCTAAAAGTCTGTAATAAAGTTACTTCCAGCTCTGCAGGTATCACAGTTAAGCCTGGTTTATACTACGCCGTCAGCAGTGGTACAGAGAAACTCAACGCCATGATGCGTCAACGCAAGTACTCTGCTGCAGGCCCGCAGAGAGACGGAGACATGTCCAATCTTTAAAAGACAGTGCAAGCCTGTGATTGGTCCCAACACCACTTCCTTTACGTTTGCCAACAGCACCGACAAAACAAACTGCTGAAGGTATCCAGCGGCTGACACGAAGCAGACCAAAGAACGTCTCACGGAAGAAATCCGATGATATGAACATTTACATATACGTGACTGAAGGAGTACAAAGGTATAAACGTGAGTTTAGAGGTGGCAAGGTGGAGGAGAATGTCCGTGTTAAGTCTCTGAAGTCTCTCTACTCGATATAAAAACTAATACAGTACTGTGGACCAGCGCCGTGACTGCAGTGGTGGCAAAACCACCCACCCCGCCCCACAGAAAAGCACTAAGCCTGCTGCTGTCCTGGGGGTAATTTCGAAACCCATCCATCCATTATTTGTACTAGGGGTTGTATCAACTAGTCGACTAGTCGACTTCACTGCTCTGTAGTGACTTTATATGCCAGTCATCGACAAATCGCTGTCACGTGATAATGACCGACAAGATGCAGTCCTCGGAAAAGACACCAGGTGACAAACTCCTGCGCGTTGGGAGGCAACGCGCTGTGCCAGAGCGTCAGTATCTGACGCCCGCCGTAAAACTGACATTTGACCGAATTGTGACGTTTACCCTCTTGCAATTTAACCTTCCCCTCACCCCCATCCTAACCTTAACCAGCTTGCACATGCAAAGCTCTGATTGTTGACGCGCTCCAGACATCTGGGTCCTGAGCACGGCCACAGTAACATTATCAAATCAGGTGTCGCCACCTCAAAAACAAAGTTAACACGCAATCGTTCATGTCAGCTCATTTCCTTTAATGTTTTCTGTCTTTTATTTGTGCCTGATGCGTGTCGCTGCTGTGGAGCGGGGTGCATCGCCTGTTTTGTTCTCCGGTGATGCACCTCACTGATGCGGCCGGCGCGCACTCCGCTGTTTTTGCGGTCGGTAGATCTTTTACAACTGCAGTTTAAAGGTAACTCATAAGGTGAATATATATGAACCCAGGTAGCAGTTTCTCTTTAGGATTGAGAGGAGATGCAGGAAGATAATAAACAGGCAGGACAGAAAAATAGTCAAATAAAAACAAGTTAGTTTTTGTACCTGCTGGTTGCAACAAACAGACACCATTGAAGGTAATCAGAAGTGAGGAACAGAAAATGAATTAATTATTTGAACATCTTAGGTGTGTTCTTGCTGTGTCTTTGTAAATCCATGCTTTCGTTCTTTTTTAAACACAGAAACAGTTTTGTTTACCTGTTTGTAGCTACGGTTTCGCCGACAGCTGCCGGCTTCTTCAGGCTGACGCTGATGGTGGCGCGTCCCTTCCTTCTCCGTTTATCTGCGGGCAGCAGAGGACGTTGTCGCCCTCTACTGCCCGCTCTCCCCTCTCCGACGATGCAGTCCCATGCGTGGTCCAGCGTGTAAACTCCGTCGTCCCTGTTCATGGTCCCACATCCACGTCTCCTTATCTCTATTGCTTCCTTGATCCATCTTTTGTATTTTTGTTGTTCAGTGGTTATGATCCGTGTGCTGTCCCAGTCCATTATATGGTTTTCTCTTAAGCAATGATCTGTTACGGCTGACTTTTTTATTGTACTTTCTGCTTCTTCTTTTGCTGCTCTTGTGTGTTTACGATTTGCCTCTTTCTCGCACTCCTTTCTGTGTTCTATTGTCCGTGTATTGAGTTGGCGTCCGGTTTCTCCTACGTATGTTTTATTGCATATTTTGCATGGGATTTCGTAGATGACTCCACATTTTTGTCCAGCTGATATTTTGTCTTTTGGGTGTACTAATCTGTTTCTAACTGTTGTGTATGGCTTTGTTGGTGTGTTTATGTTGTGTTTTTTCATTGTTGCTCTTATTTTTTCCGTTATGCCTCTGATGTATGGTAGGGTTATCACTGGTTTTGGTTCTTGTCTTTCTGGGTTTCTGGTTCTTTTTTTGGGTTGTTCTTTGCTTTCTGTTTTTGTTTGTTGTTTTCCTTTGTTTATTGCCCATGTCGGGTATCTGCAGGTCTTTAAAGCGTGTTGTATGTGTTTGTCCTCTTGTTTACGGTCTCTCTCTTCTGTTATTATGTTTGCTCGGTGATATAATGTTCTGATTACTGACATTTTGTGTATGGTGGGGTGTTCTGATGTCCATAATAGATATTGGTCTGTGTGTGTTGGTTTCCTGTATGTTTTTATGTTTAGGGTCCCGTCGGTCTGCCTGGTGATTTTCATGTCCATAAATGCTATGCTGCCTTCTGTTTCTAACTCATAAGTGAATTTTATGTTGCCCGTGTCGTCAATATTGTTTAAGTGTTGTGTTAGTGTTTCTGTTTGACCTTTTGGTATGATTTCCAGTAGGTCGTCTACGTAGCGTTTCCATAGTTTTATTTTGCAGTTTGGGGGGGCGGTGGCTATGGCTGTTTGTTCCAGGTCTTCCATGAAAAACTCGCACAGGGTGGCTGATAACGGGTTACCCATGGCGAAGCCTTCCAGTTGTTTGTATATTGTGTTGTCGTATGTGAAGTAAGTGGAGTTAGCTACCAGTCCTATCAGTTGTGCTATGTCATCTGCTGTGAGGTTTGTCCTTTTATGTAAAGTTTTGTCTTGTCTGATTCTGTTAACTACTATGTCTATGGTTTTTTGGGTTGGTGTTTTTGTGAACTGTTATCAGCCACCCTGTGCGAGTTTTTCATGGAAGACCTGGAACAAACAGCCATAGCCACCGCCCCCCCAAACTGCAAAATAAAACTATGGAAACGCTACGTAGACGACATACTGGAAATCATACCAAAAGGTCAAACAGAAACACTAACACAACACTTAAACAATATTGACGACACGGGCAACATAAAATTCACTTATGAGTTAGAAACAGAAGGCAGCAAAGCATTTATGGACATGAAAATCACCAGGCAGACCGACGGGACCCTAAACATAAACACATACAGGAAACCAACACACACAGACCAATATTTATTATGGACATCAGAACACCCCACCATACACAAAATGTCAGTAATCAGAACATTATATCACCGAGCAAACATAATAACAGAAGAGAGAGACCGTAAACAAGAGGACAAACACATACAACACGCTTTAAAGACCTGCAGATACCCGACATGGGCAATAAACAAAGGAAAACAACAAACAAAAACAGAAAGCAAAGAACAACCCAAAAAAAGAACCAGAAACCCAGAAAGACAAAAACCAAAACCAGTGATAACCCTACCATACATCAGAGGCATAACGGAAAAAATAAGAGCAACAATGAAAAAACACAACATAAACACACCAACAAAGCCATACACAACAGTTAGAAACAGATTAGTACACCCAAAAGACAAAATATCAGCTGGACAAAAATGTGGAGTCATCTACGAAATCCCATGCAAAATATGCAATAAAACATACATAGGAGAAACCGGACGCCAACTCAATACACGGACAATAGAACACAGAAAGGAGTGCGAGAAAGAGGCAAATCGTAAACACACAAGAGCAGCAAAAGAAGAAGCAGAAAGTACAATAAAAAAGTCAGCCGTAACAGATCATTGCTTAAGAGAAAACCATATAATGGACTGGGACAGCACACGGATCATAACCACTGAACAACAAAAATACAAAAGATGGATCAAGGAAGCAATAGAGATAAGGAGACGTGGATGTGGGACCATGAACAGGGACGACGGAGTTTACACGCTGGACCACGCATGGGACTACATCGTCGGAGAGGGGAGAGCGGGCAGTAGAGGGCGACAACGTCCTCTGCTGCCCGCAGATAAACGGAGAAGGAAGTGACGCGCCACCATCAGCGTCAGCCTGAAGAAGCCGGCAGCTGTCGGCGAAACCGTAGCTACAAACAGGTAAACAAAACTGTTTCTGTGTTTAAAAAAGAACGAAAGCATGAATTAATTATTTTTATGTTTAGAGCAGCAGGAAGTCCGAGAGGCTGCAGGCGCATCAGTGAGTTTGCGGCCACTGCGCAGGAGGAGGGGGGGGGAGAGCTGAAGCAGAAACTACCGTTGTTAAAAGAGATGTGTTAACTTTGAAAATGTGGGCGCAATTTTAATTGTCAAAAACTCCAGCGAACCATTAGTTCATTTTGCTCGAATAGAAATTGAGGCCTGCCTCTAATTCTGGTCCTCCTTCCAATAAAGGCCTGGAGCTTGATGAGCTTGAGTCAAATACAGGCCCGGGCCTGTATTAGAGGATTTACGGTATTACACAAGGTAATGAAGAAACTACCGTTGTTAAAAGAGGTGCGTGCGTTTGAGCCCCCCCACACGCACACACACACACCCGCGTCGGAAAAAAACTCTTGGTCACCCATCGTCAGTTTTAGCCGCTTCAGCTGTGTGACGTCATCAACAACTAGTCGAAGTCGATTCGATTTTCATTACTTGACGGTCGACTTTAAAAAAAATTCAGTCGTGCAGCCCCTAATCTGTACCCACTTATCCACGCAGGGTCGGGGGGGCCGGTGTTTATCTCCAGCAGTCTTTGGGCAAGCAGTGCTTTGAAACCCGCCTCAGCCAAAGGGAAGTGTCTCCATTAATGCGATTGCGCGACTCCACACCCAAGCAGATGGAGACGTATAAACCAGGCTTCAGCGATGTGGCTGTGCTGCATGGATGCCTCTGATAAAAGCCGTCGGTGTCACAACTTACCGGACGTGAACGCTGATCGGAGCCGTTCGGGCCAACATGGGAGTGGCTGGAACGCTCCTGCCTTCAACATTAGAAGCACTTCTGGGTAAGGAGTGAGACGGGCTGTAACAACCAGCATGAAGTGTTTAAACCATTTCATCCAGACAGCAGGATGAGGCTTCCCAGTTGAAGCTATAGTTACCTGACAGAGCTTGTGATGGAGTTGCGGCGTGTCCTCATCTCGTAGTAGATCTCAACAGGAGAGAGCTTCCTGCTGATCCTGTGGTCGGGGCTGCCCACTGTGAGTCGGGGCTGGGACAGAGAGCGCTGATCAGCAGCTACGCTGGGGGAAGAGTCTTTTGGGAGAAGAGGCAGTGAATATATTTACCCAGCACTTCTGCTTTTGTTGGGCTGTTTTTAAAACCTTAATTAAGAATAGGTTTAGGTTGTTTTCTCACCGTTATCATGGGATGTTGAGTCTGACATCGAGCTGGTGCTTTCTGACATCACAGTGTCCTCTAAAACACAACAAGCAGCAACACGGATGAGGATGCAGGATTCTGCTGACTTTACTAAAGATAAATGAAAACTTTCAACATTTTTGGTATGTTCTTGTTGTGTCTGGTTTCCAACTGCATTTTTGGTTCTTTTTAAAACACAGAAAAAAAGCTACACACGAACCAATTTCACACATCGTTCCCTAGTTAGACAGGAAATCTTGCGAGATAAAACGTGACATTGGAGAAAACAACATGGTGAAGGAACGTGCAGAGTGCTGTCACTTTGCATTCTGATTGGCTACACATCACATTCAACAAGCATCATGTTGGTTTATCCTCAATATTCAGCCAAGACAATCCATCGTGTTTGATTTCCCTGATGTTCCCCGTGTGATTCCCAGCTGACCCGAGCACACCGAAACACATCACACACAGCAGGATAATCTGTTAAGACTATCTTTAGAGTCGTTACATAATTTTGCGCCTCCTCAAAGGTAAATTTTTCTCATATTTTTATACATTTGCGGTGGCCTCTAGTAGAAATTATTACAAAACTCTGTGGAATAAAGCTCCAGTGCACCTGTTCCAGGAACCAGAAGTCACACCAGAGGAGAAAGTGGCAGAACACGGCAGGAATCTTATTTCCTGATATTTCCTGATATCCTCTTGCCTCTGATTGGCTAACAGCAACACAACTCTACTACTGCTTCTGTTTGCCCAAAAACTTTAATGTTTTATCTCTACAATTAACGCAAATTTTGTAATCCTAGAGTATCAATGTCTACTTTCTATCAGAAGCTAAAGCAGGAGACAGGTGTAGGAGACTATTTTCATGTTCAGCCAGCATAAAAAACTCAGTGACCCATTATAATCAAACTCAATAAATAAAAATTGGTTTCTCAGTGAAGTTGACCTTTAAGATTGTTGGTAGTGGACAATCCGGTCAAAATCTGCATGATTTTCTTGCTCAATCAATCAATCAATCAATCAATCCATCAATCAACCAAAGCTTTATTTATGAAGCGCCTTCCCTGTCGGGAAGCCCAAGGCGCTGAACACAGTACATGAGAAATGTGAAACATGATGAATACATCGAAAATAAAAAAAATTCAAATAGTGCAAAAAAGGTAAAACATTAAAGTAGAAGACAAATGGGTAAAACAAGGGAAAAAGAGACCAATAAAAACAGGGAAATGAAATCAACATAAAAGAGGGCCAAATTCAAACACGTTCAAGGAACGCCAAGCGGAGGAGGTGGTTTTTTAGGTGACTCTTTAAGACTGGCAGAGATGGGGGAAGCCTAACTGAGGGTAGCAACTGGTTCCAGAGTGACGGTGCTAGGACTGAGAAAGCCCGGTCCCCGCGAGTACGACACCTAGAACGAGGGACAGCGAGCAGGCCTTGGTCAGAGGAGTGCAGAGCGCGTGATGGGGAATGTCTGTTCAGGAGTGTGGCCAGATAGGGGGGACCACTACCCTGGAAGAAATTGTAAACAAAGACGAGGAGTCTACAGTGTGAATGATAACAGACCGGAAGCCAGTGCAGGGAGGCCAGAACCGGACTGATGTGGTCCCGTTTCCTGGTCCCAGTCAGGAACCTGGCTTGTAGGCGGCGCAATAATGATTGACCCAGTCCGGCATATAGAGAGTTGCAGTAATCAAGCCTAGAAATTACAAAAGCATGGAGTACTCGCTCCAGGTGGGCTCTCGACAGCATAGGCTTGATTTTTGCAAGGCGTCTCAGATGAAAGAAATTGGACCGGATCACAGAGTTGATGTGAGCATCAAATTTTAAGTCCAGCGTCAATTTTCACCCCCAGACTGGTGACAACTAGCTGTGAGTAGGGAGAAAGAGGGCCAAGATCAACATAACGACCCACAGCCCTGCTGTTGGGGTGAAAAACAATGAGCTCTGTTTTCCCCTCATTCCGATGCAGATAGTTGGCTATTAGCCAAGACTTCACCTCATTAAGAAAGGACACAAAGGACTGGATAGAGAGACCTTTCTCTTGACACAATGGAGAGTAAATCTGGCAATCGTCGGCATAGAGATGGAACACTAGGCCATGTTTCTTCTTCCTCAGTAAGTGAGGCAGCATCAGAGGTGACTGTAGAACCTCATCTGTGCTTGAACTGTTTTGATCCAGTTGAGCTTTCAGAGTTATCAAAAATATTAGCTTCATCTAAACCTTCAACTTGCATTTTGGATCCAATCCCAACCAAATTATTTAAAGAAGCATTTCCTTTGGTTACTGCACCCATTCTAAATATAATCAATCTATCCTTAGTAAATGGGTATGTACCACAAGATTTTAAGGTTGCTGTAATCAAACCTTCACTTAAGAAGCCTTCTCTGGATCCAGATGACCCAATGAATTATAGACCAATATCTAACCTTCCATTTTTATCCAAAGTCCTGGAGAAAATAGTGGCCATCCAAGTATGTGAGCATTTAAACACTAATGCTCTGTTTGAGGAATTTCAGTCTGGTTTTAGAGAGTATCACAGCACTGAAACTGCATTAGTGAGAGTTACAAATGATATTCTCATGGCCTCAGATAAGAATATTTTGTCTGTTCTAGTCTTGTTAGATCTCAGTGCTGCCTTTGACACAGTTGATCACAATGTTCTTTTAGAAAGACTTGAACATGTTGTAGGGATCAAAGGAGCAGCGCTAGGCTGGTTTAAATCCTACCTGTCTGACAGATTTCATTTTGTAAATGTACATGAAAAATCGTCTTCATACTCCAGGGTTACTTGCGGAGTACCACAGGGTTCAGTGCTTGGACCAATTCTTTTTACTATATGTATGCTCCCAATTGGTAAAATCAATTGACAGCATGGAATAAACTTCCACTGTTATGCTGACAATATTCAGTTATATTTATCCATTAACCCTGATGAACCTAATCGGTTGGGTAGATTACAGGCTTGTCTTGAGGACATAAAAAATTGGATGATTCTAAACTTTTTGCTTTTAAATCAAGACAAGACGGAAGTTCTCATCTTTGGACCAGAAATCCAGAAAAGGAAATTGCTTAGCCAATCACCTGACCTGAATGGCATTACATTAATCTCCGAGAACAAAGTAAGGAACCTTGGTGTCATCTTTGACCAGGACATGTCATTCAAATCCCAAGTTAAACAGGATTATAGGATTTCCTTTTTCCACCTTCGGAATATTGCTAAGATTAGGAGCATCCTTTCCAGAAGTGATGCTGAAAAACTAGTTCATGCATTTATTACATCAAGACTGGATTACTGTAATTCATTACTCTCAGGAAGTCCACAGAATGTAGTTAAAAGTCTTCAGCTTGTCCAAAATGCTGCAGCTAGAGTTCTGATGAGAATTAAAAAGAGAGATCATATCTCTCCTGTCTTAGCTTCCCTACATTGGCTACCTGTTACATTCAGAATAGATTTTAAGATCCTTCTTCTCACATATAAAGCTCTTAATAATCAAGCTCCATCATACATCAGTAATCTGATTGTTCCATATGTTCCTAACCGAGCACTTCGCTCTCAGACTGCAGGTCTACTGGTGGTTCCCAGAATAACTAAAATTAGGATGGGAGGCAGATATTTTAGTTATCAGGCTCCTCTCCTGTGGAACCAGCTCCCAGCTTTAGTCCGTGAGGCAGACATCTTGTCTACTTTTAAGAATAGGCTTAAAACATTTTTATTTGATAGGGCCTATGGTTAAAATCTGATGTTAGCCTAGAACTGGACAAGTGGGGGAGTAGAGGGAGGTGGAGTGTACAGTCAGTAAAGACGGCTCTCCCTTGCCTTGACTCCAACATGCCTCCATCTAAATAGGATAGATTATCCAGAGTTTTCTCTGTAGTTATGCTGCTATAGGCTTAGACTGCTGGAGGATACACTGACCACTTTTCACACTCTACTACATTCTTCTACAATCTGCTCTTTAACTGCACTATTTTCTGCAATTTCAGCTGTTAACTTTATTTTTTCTCTAAGTGTTTTTCTCCCCAGAAGAAGCTACATTGATGTTCTGCTGAGCTGTGGTGGCCTCATGGAGGGGGCCATCGTCTAGCACACTGCTGCTAACCACTTAAACATTCTCCCTCTCCTGATAATAACTTTTAGCTTTCCTTGACGTTGGATGTGCTAATACTAGTTTACCCGTTTAATTACAGATCCACTAGGATAAATACAATAAAGTTTATCTCTCACCAAATAGAATATTTACTAAAAAATCACAATATAACTATAGACACATTACTTTGTCTTTGTCTGTCTGTGTGTGTGTGTGTGTGTGTGTGTGTGTGTGTGTGTGTGTGTGTGCGTGCGTGCGTGCGTGCGTGCGTGCGTGCGTGCGTGCGTGCGTGCATGCCTGCTCTGTCTTCTCCATCCCCAGTGAGTCGTGGAGGATGGCTGCTTATACTGAGCCAGGATTCTCTGGAGGTTTCTTCCTGTTAAAAGGGAGTTTTCCTCTCCACTGTCGCTTTACACTTGCTTAGTATGAGGATTGCTGTAAAGTCACTGACACTAGTCAGTGACTTGATGCAATTTGCTGGGTTCCTTATATAGGAAACATTACTTCTGATTGGCTTAATGAACTGTGAATTGGAATGTTTATTATGTGAAGTGCCTTGAGACGACTCTTGTCGTGATTTGACGCTATATAAATAAACTTGAATTGAATTGAAAGTTTACGAAAGATTAACCCCAGGGGAAGCAGATAAATTGCAAACAAAAGAGGACCAAGGATCGATCCCTGCGGGACCCCCCAGCGGAGCCCCTCCCAAGAAGAAAAAACATCACCTAGTTTATCACAGAATGTCCTGTTGTGGAGATACGATCTAAACCAATCCAGAGCAGACCCTTTGATCCCAACCCATCGTTCCAAGCGATCGAGTAGAATCGCGTGGTCAACTGTGTCGAAGGCTGCTGTCAGGTCTAACAACAGAAGCACCACAGATGTACCCTGATCTACTGATAGATAGATATCATTTAGGACCCTCAGTAGAGCTGAGTCTGTGCTATGGCCAGACATGAACCCTGATTGGAAATCCTCAAACAGATCAGAGTCAGCTAAATGTGAGACCAGCTGCTGATAAACGACTTTCTCAAGCAGTTTTGATGTAAAGGGCAGGGTAGAGATAGGCCTGTAATTTTCGATCACAGAGACATCAGCACCAGGTTTCTTCAGGGTCTGCCGAATAACTGCTGCTTTCAAAGCAGCTGGGACCACACCTGTGCTGAGGCTCCCATTGATAATCTGACCAAGTGAAGGGCCAAGACACGGAAAGGCAGCCTTCCAGAGACGAGGCGGCAGAACGTCAAGTGGAGAGCCAGATGGCTTCTGCCTCGCAACAAGCTTACTCAGCTCAGAATAAGAAACAGTACTGAGGGAGCTCAGGGTGGGTGGTGATGGAGGAACTGGAACAGGGTCAATAATTACCAGAAATAGCTGCTCTAATGCCCGATACTTTATCAACAAAGAATCTGTGAAAATCTTCAGAGTTTCCAGCAGCGGTAGGAGACATGGAGCTAGGCTCCTTATACGTCAGAACAGAGTTCAGTGTTTTGTAGAGAATCTTGGGATTCTTGGGATGCTGTGCGAACCAGGCCTTACCCAATACAAAAATAACTAAAACTTAATAGATTGTTCAGATGCTGAGCTTGAGAGGGATGCTGTAGCAGCTGAGCCATTCTCTAGTGCATGCATCTAACATTAAAAGGTCATGTGTCAGTGGGTTTGACTGCAGAGTACCTGTATGGCACCCCCGGTGGACTGTCCTCTTGCTATTTGGTCCATTTCGGTCTGATTCTGAGTTTCGGCACAAAGCGCCGGTGAAGATTGCTTTCATCTGCTTCCTCTGCACAGAGTCATCCTGTAGCCAAGACACGGCCGATCATGTCGGACCACAAGGATACACACATTGAAATGGCTGATGCGTAAACACTATTGATATTCGAGGTGTTGACTTACCTCTGCCTTGGTGCTCGGCGCCAGGCCAGCTCTGCGCTGCACCAGCGGGGCTTTCTCGCCCGTCTCCAGAGGAAAAGCACATGGCAGCTTCCCAGTCAGTTCCTGTAGAGGGGGTGTTCAATAAGAGCTGTGATGCTACATAAAATGATGCCAGCTTACTGTAAGTCTCAACAAGATCCATCCTAAAAGGTCTTCTGCACCAAAATCATTAAGCATAAGAGCTGCAGAATGACGTAACAGCGTCGTGCTGTAATTCACCACAGAGCGAGGAAATAACTCCACATATCTAACAGCTCTAACTTTTCAGCTGAGCTACTCTGCCAGAAAAAAAAATCAGATTTCAAAAATAGATATGATGGGATGGGGTGAGTCTGAATATATAGTGATGTGTTAAACAGCTGTTAAAGAAAAGCCGAGGCAGCTTATTAGCACGTGCTGACAGCCTCTCCGGACCAATCCAGCCCAGATTCATTTGCATCCTGCTGTATGTGATGACAGCATTTTCAACAAGTCTCTTGTTTGCATCTTTGCTCAGAGGCTGTCGTACAGCTCAACTGGACACGAACATGAAAAGCCAATTAATTAAAAATAATCCTCATCTTCTACCAAGAGACTCGTGGTAAACCAGGTGTGTCACGGGTGTGTGAGAGAGCCAGATGCTACTCACTGCTTCCTGCAAACAGACTTGTTTGAGCTCTCCCACTCTTGCACTGAGGAGAGCCTCCAGGGCCTGCTTCCTCTGCTGCAGAGCTGCGATCCGCTCAGCCTGCAGCTTGCTGTCCTGGCAGCCTTGAACATCTGGAGAGCAGAACACACAACATTACATGAGCTTCACTTTATACATGAGAAGTTCTCACAACAACAAACTCAATGTGTTACAAAGGCTGTTTTTCTGTGAGGGTTTATCGTTTTCTGATAAGTGTGTCTTGCAGCTGTGGCGACTATGGGAACAAAAGATCTTTGCACGCAAAGTTGTTGTCAGCTGTTCCCTCAAGAAAATCAGCAGAAAAAACAGGAGCTGCTGGATCTGTCTTTACTCACCAGGAGTCCCCAAACCCATGGATGTGATCAGGTGTCCTTTCACCTCCATGTGACGTAATTCTGGGAACTTAACAATTCCGTCTCCCAGCTACGCCCTTACCTAATGAAGACAGACTGCTGGTTATCTGCAGCTCAGATTCAGGAACAAAACATGGATGTTTCAATCTGTCTGACCTTGCAGCCATCTGTGGTCTTGAGGTTTGGAGGGAGTTTCATATTTAGTGAATCAGAAGTGGATAAGTTCGGGAGGGATCACGTGACTCAGAGAGGGGGGAGACTATCCCCGACTCCTAAAAGAAAGAAGTGTACGTTTTTATTGTCATAAAACCATCTAACAGTAAATTAGTTATTTATATGCCAAGGTGTTAAAGCAGTCTACGTTAGAGGTAACAAAAACACGGAGCATTGATTGTAGAGTAACACAAAAACTAGGTTAGCAACACACTTAGCTTCAAATGATTATGTTAAAACTAATAATTACAATTACAAATAACTATAATTAAACCTAAATGAAGTCAAACGTATGTAGAAAAATACATCAAGATGTTTAAATCTAAGTTGGTGTTGATTCAAATTTAAATATTTAGCTAACATGAAAATAAATGGAGTCTGCTGTAAAAAAGAAGAGATCCCCTGTCTAACATCTCCTTCGGTGGTTAGAGTGTGTCTGAGTTCGGTCGCACGTCATTTATGCTGCCGGGCTTCTCCGCTTTCATAAACGATCCAAAGACAAACAGACTCACACAACTTCAGCACCAAAGGTGATGGACAGGAGGTCTCTTCACCTCGCCTTAGCTTGGGTAGGCCAAACCCTGACGTTTGTGTTTTTATGAGACGCTAAATGTGGACTAATGCCACTGTGAGAATAGAATAGAATAGAATAGAATAGAATTGAATTGAATTGAACAGAATAGATTAGAACAGAATAGAATTGAATAGAACAGAACAGAATTTAATAGAACAGAATAGAATAGAATTGAATAGAACAGAATAGAATAGATTAGAATAGATTAGAACAGAACAGAACAGAATAGATTAGAACAGAATAGAATAGAATTGAACAGAATAGAACAGAATAGAATTGAATAGAACAGAATAGAATAGATTAGAACAGAATTGAATAGAACAGAATAGAACAGAATAGAAGAGAATAGAACAGAATAGATTTGAACAGAACAGAATAGAACAGAATAGATTAGAACAGAATAGAATAGAATTTAATAGAACAGAATAGAATAGATTAGAACAGAACAGAATAGAACAGAACAGATTAGAACAGAACAGAATAGAACAGAATAGAATTTAATAGAACAGAATAGAATAGATTAGAACAGAACAGAACAGATTAGAACAGAATAGAATAGATTAGAACAGAATAGAATAGATTAGAACAGAACAAAATAGAACAGAATAGAATAGAATAGAATAGAACGGAACAGAATAGAATAGAATTGAATAGAACAGAATAGAATAGATTAGAACAGAACAGAATAGAATAGATTAGAATAGAATAGAATTGAATAGAACAGAATTGAATAGAACAGAATAGAATAGATTAGAACAGAACAGAATAGAATAGACACATTTTGGGAGACACCAGAGTGCTCGTGATCCGTTTAATAGAACACTTAGAAAGCTGAGCTGGTGCACGTGAGAGATTCTGAAGCTATTACTCTAAAATTAGAACTTTGACAGAATTAGCAACCTATTAATTAGCAAGGAGGGGTAAAAAAGGAGAGCAGATAAGTAACATTAATAATAAATGGAACGATACAGAGAAGGAGAAAGTTAATCCACTCGGTTTGTGCCTCAGAGGCCAAAAGCTGCAGGAAGAAGAGACAGAGTCGGATCCAGACTCCAGGTTGGTTGTTAGGTGAGCCGGAAATGTTCCACACAGCTTTTCCACCAAACACTCTACAGAGACCTGATATCCAAAAATAGTGACAACCTTTGCTGCCAAAAGCCTCTCGCTTGTCTCTGCGCTCAAATCGCTGCCATAAACAATCACCCACCTGTCTCCTCGCCAGTCGTTTAAATCTTAAAAAGACTCAATTCTGCTCACGGAAGGCCTGAAGGGCTGCATTCCTATTCCTGTGCCCGCTTCTGCTAGCGTTGCTTCTTTGAAAAGGAAACATTTATCTGTCGGTTAGTGAGAGCAGCTGTCTCAAAGCTCTGCTCACAAACAAGCAGATGGGCAGAAGCCAGCAGCACAGACGGCTGTTTCCTTCTCAAACACCACAAAGAATGAAGCCCACTTTTACTGTAAGACAGACGGGAAATAGTGTTGGGTCCTGTCCTGGAGCTGACACACACACACACACACACACACACACCACGCCTGACCTCCCAGTGACAGACAAGTGGGAGCCGCTCACATAACCATGTGGCAGAGGTACGACGGCCAAAACTCTCGGACAAAAGCTCATCACATGAATCCTGTTAAACCATACCGAGTCCACAGTGACCAGATTTTAAGATAATCTAATGATGTGAAGGGGATTTTCACCTGGGGCAGAGCCAGAAAAACACTGGAGGCGTAAAACAGACAGACATTTGTCTGCTGAGCAGCCGAATACCAGAGCCAAAAGGTTGCCATGCCTCTTAACCATCACCCTCTCCTGCAGGGAAACATTTGCTTGAACATTTGGTTCCTTTCTCACTGAGATGTTCTTTATTGACTCTGGAAAACAAAGATGTGTTCACTAGCTGTGGTTGTGTATTCGCTCCTTTTAAACAAACCAAGTCACCCTCTTAACAAATGGGATTAAACTCAGCGGGATACGAAAATATTCACTGTAACATGTAAGTGTGTGTGTGTGTGTGTGTGTGTGTGTGTGTGTGTGTGTGTGTGTGTGTGTGTGTGTGTGTGTGTGTGTGTGTGTGTGTGTGTGTGTGTGTGTGTGTGTGTGTGTGTGTGTGTGTGTGTGTGTGTGTGTGTGTGTGTGTGTGTGTGTGTTCCATGAAGTTACAGATGTTCTGAGCACCCCAGAAAATGAGGAGGTAGTACTCTGGAGCCCTGAGGGTAAGGGGGTGGGGGGTGTCGGGCTCATCTGACCCAGCCGTTAGAAACGTGCATATGAAAGAATCGGTTGTCTGGTAAACATGAGCTTTTCAGGTCAACAGCTTAAATTAGTCTAATCCAGCCAGTAGCTCACACCTGCTGATACTCCCAGTGGGAGGTCTGCAACCTGCGGCTCTGGGGCCAATGCATTAACCTGAGTGGTGTTTATATTTAAATGCTGAATAGATAAGGGTAGTTTCAGCATGTTCTTGTGCACATGTATGTAACATTCATGGACTCCATGTCTTCAGCACCAGAATGACCTAAAGTCTGGAGGCGTTGTGTTTCACTCAAAGCTAAAAAATCTACATAGTTGCTGTAAAAGAGGAAGTTTTTCACAGCTTCTGGAAAATGAAATTAAAGTCATAAATAACAGTACTGAATGTGAAAGGGTGCAGGTGACGGCTGGAAAACTCAAGTGTAACGTTCTATATGACTATATGTTCTTTATTTTAGTCACAATAAAAATAACATACACACCTCTCTCCCCCCCCCCCCCCCCCTCTCTCTCTCTCTGCCTGTTGAGTCTGTTCATGTTTATGTTTATTCATTTAGCAGACGCTTTTATCCAAAGCGACTTACAGTTTATAAACTATAGAGCTCCGGGAGTTGACGTCACTTCTCCCAGCATGCAACAGTTCAAATCGAAACGGCGCCATATTGGCATGCAGAAGCCGGCAGCTGGACTATATGTTATTGTCAGAAAACTCAATCAGACAGGAAATATGGTAGATTCCTGTTGTGCCCCAGGATGCAGAACAGACGCGGACGACATAAGGAATGAGCCTTCTACAGGATTCCCCAAGATCCGGAGCGCCGCAAACGTTGGATCGTTGTAATAAAACGCGCTAGTGACCGGGCGAAAATGAAGCTGTGGGATCCCGAGAGAAGGTTTTCACTTATGCAGCGACCGCTTCATATCAGGTACTTAAACCAACGTTTCCTCAACTGTGTATGGTATTTATTTTAAATGCTTTTATTATGATTCTTAGCGGGCTTCCTAAACTTATTTTGGCGTGGCTTTTTCTGTCTTATTACTCATAGCAGCAAGTAAACATCACGTAAAACGTTTCCTCGTGAGTTCTGCGTGCTGCCGTTTACGTGTTTTATGATAACAACAATTAACCGGCTAAGCTGTATTTAATTTTTAAGCAATGGTTGATCAATTGTCAGATCACACATAAAAAGCACTTTGGATTGCTATTATCTGTCTCACCGAGACTACTTACGTGTAAATCTGTTATTTGTCCGTCCATCCATCCATTTTCATCCGCGTATCCGGAGTCGGGTTGCGGGGGCAGTAGCGTGACTTCCCTCTCCCCAGCCGCCGGAGCCAGCTCCTCCGGGTAAATCCCAAGGGGTTCCCCGGCCAGGTCCGGTAAGAAGTCCGCTCCGACATCTTCTGGCGTTTTTAAAAAGTATCCCAGGGGCACGGTAAGGGTCGGAGATGTTTAGTCTATTTAATTTCTGACTATATAAAACGATTTCTTCTGTTTTAAAGTGTGAAGTAAACTCCGACGAAGTAAAATCCAAGCGGATCCCGTTCATGTTCATGGTTACATCCGTGTTTGTTTACCTTTTTTGCATGCCAAAATGGCGTCTAGTAACTGAGAGTCACGTGGGGTCCGGAGCTCTATAGGGCACGTTGTGAGTCTGCTGCCCAGAGCAGGATCGGGCAAGCTGTGGGGCCTTTTGGTTTGGGTTCTCAAGACGCCTAGTGGGGGTTACTGCAGAATGGGAATCAAAATGTGTAATTTCATCTGTTGGACATGTGTCAAAGTAAAAGTCTACACACTATGTCCATAATGCCGGGATCACACTGCGATTTTTGGCCATCGCACAGGATTGTTCCTGTCACTGTGAGAACTCCAGAGAGGTGTCCCACTGTATGACACAAGATTTGTGAGAGGCAGACTGCATGACGTGTCGCTCCATCAGGACACGCTTCATCATGAGTGCACCTCCCAAAGATGTACGTCACGAAGCAGACAGCTAACAAACCAAAGCTGAAAGATAAAATAAAGCACTAGCCTGGCACGCTCCATTGACGGCTCTCGGTTGTGGGGCGGGTTCTACCGTTGTCTTTCAAATGATCTCCGCATTCCACTGGACAATGAATGTGACATACTCTTGTTTGTTGCATCATCCCACCCACCAGGCATATAGAGTGCCCTGATTGGCCCACAAAGCGGATAAGCTCTGTGATTTGTTCACTAAGCAAATAGAGCTCTGTGATTGGCCCACCATTATGGACCAATCACAGCTCTTTATGTGTTTGAAACCCCTCTAGAGAGCTGTGATTGGCTAGCCAGAGTCCTGGTAGGAGCTGCTGAGGTTTCAATGGAGCGTGCCTAGACCATTCTTTGCAAAGCAAGAATTTGGTCTAGTTCACCAGGCTAATAAAGCACAGCTGTTAACACTACTTTTTAGCATCAGCTCATGACCGAGCTCATCTTCCTTAAAGAGTAAAATTGCTTTCAAAACCACTTTGGCCTCAGACTCCGGCTGCGAGTCTCTTTTTCCAGCTAAACAGCTGATCTGTCTGCTGGACCGTCACCCTTCTCATCCTCCTTTATGAATAAAAACTCACCCAACTACAGAGAAGTCATTATCTGTCACAGATCGCTCCGACATCTAAAGAGTTGCCGTGAATTCTGTCTCACCGTTTATTCTGCAGCTCTGTGACATCTCATCACACTCGCTGTCACGAAGCGGCGCTACCTCTGTCCCTCTGCAACTAAACGCTACTGAACCATAATAATCGGTTAAGATTTCCACCAACAGCAAAGGGACGTTTAAACATAGTTAATCCATTAAAAACTATTACAATATTTTTACGTACAACTTTTACAATAATTTGTTTAAATAATCCAAATTATCTTTATCTTATTTTGAAATTTCGATTGAGACCGGATGTGAAGTAACAACTCAGGAGCTAATAAGGAGAAGGAGGTGTTTCTGTTTTTGAAGGGGGGTGCTCTCCTTTACAAACCCCCTTTAGCTGCTGGATGGATGATGTTGGTTGATGCAGTCTATCGGTGACAAGGACACAACCGGAGGAGCATCTCACTTACCCTGCTGTAGGGTAAATCCACCCTGACGTCTGATTCGACCGCCTGACAAGGACCAGATCAAAGGAAGCATCCAGCTGTCTGTTATATATGTTGAGGCTTTATTCTTTTTATGGTTGGAGAGAAGAATTAAAGTTTACTAAACGGCCAGTATGGCTGTGGCCATCTGCAGGGCCTCGTGTTTTTGATTCAGTCCTGAGGTTCAGGACGAGCAGCTTTTCTGGTTTACCCACCACACGATCTGGTCTACACCTGGCTAGATCAGAGGCTGCTCAGGTGCTTCTTTTTTCAAACATCTGGTGTGCACATGTGGGCCGATTCAAAGACATCACATTCCTGTGGGACAGAGACGAATATGATAAGGAGGGAGGGAGCTGCATCAAAGAAAGACACATCAGAGAGGGCTACAGCAGACCTGAGCATGTTGACTTTTGAGGGCCGTGAACGGCAGCTCGGACCTGCAGGGAGCCGAGGAACCGGATGCAGCCACGCAGATATAAATGAGAGAGGAGTTTAGGGGCTACACATTAAAGCCTGTACAGCAGGAGGAGCTGCACTCCTCCATCTCATCTAGAGCTGAAACAACTAATCGATTTAATCGATTATAATCGATTATTAAAATAGTTAACAACTTTTTTAGTCATCGATTAGTTGTTTAATAATCATATTTTACCGCATAAAGTCTATTTTTTTTACCACAATCTGACATCGGTTACAATCTGTTAAATTTGCCGCCAGTGTGTGGCAGTAATGAGCCACTGATCTACCAGTTGAGCCGTAGAAGAAGAAATGAGCCAATAAGTGCCCTCGGTTTTCATGACGTATCACGTTACTGACGCTCATCTTGCTGTGAGAGATGGCGGATCAACAAGAAATACAGAAGAAAAATAGAAGCGACAAAACAAGAGAAACCCGGACAAAAACCTCACGATTATGGGAGCACTTCACTAGATGCCTTGAACAGACCGGTGACCTGCAAAAACCATGGCACGACGGAAGCACGACGTCCCTACGTGAACATTTGAGACGAAAACATGTGGGGGCTGATGCAGCAGAGGAATGTCCGGTAAGTAACAGAAAATAAACAAGCTAACGCAGATCAAATTTGGGACTTAGTGTTAGCTGAGTTCGTTATAGTGGATGTTAAACATGTTTTTTTTTTTTTTTTTTTGCCGCGTCAGTTTACGGTGTTCTACTTCTGATTGACTAGATGCAATCGTGAATCTCCTCCGTGTTGTGAATCATGCGCTTGCCAAATTTAGCACGTCTGTTTATAAGAATGTTCTCGTTAAGAGAAAAACGGCACAAACCCATAACTGTGTTCCTCATTCAAAAAAGGACAACTCCGCGGAGAAAAATATACAGACGAGCTGTGTCCAGGTGAATATAACGCGGCATAGTTGTACGCTTTCAATTTTTAAACATAGGAGAAATTCAGAAAGTCATTTGTTTTACTATTAAAAGGCTGTTTTACTGTCTAACGCTGTAAAACACCTCACAACACATTTTTGTCAAAATAAATGATCACTGTATATTGTTAATTAATTCAAATAATGTAATATTGATTTAGTGTTGTAGTGTGTGTGCTGCTTTATTTTATATGTGTACTTAATTCAGTTTATTTGTGTTTCTTATGCAGAAAAAAACAAGCAACGATGGACAACTACATGGGGAACAAGACACTCACCCCCCAGCAATGCATACCACTTACAAACTCTATTCTAGATTCTACATTATTTTTTATGGAATTTACCTCTTATAT